CGCAACTGCGATGCCGATCCCTGGAGCGAAGAGATCCGCTGGCGTGGTGAGCACCGCCGTCGGGTGGTGATGACGTCTGCGCTGCCTGCCAGGGGGGTCCTGCTGCAGTGGAGGCAAGTGAGAGGCCGGTGGAGTGAGTCGCCTATGGGGCGCCAGACTCCGAACGACCACGACGACGACTGCAAGTCAAGGAGCAGCTGTCGCGAAACTTGGTGCAGCGCACTGGCCGGAAGCTGGTGGATGAGCCTGGGGTGCTGTACCTGCTGCGGAAGGCTGAACCACTCCGTGGCGACCCAACACCCGAGAGACAACCCCACAGTGCATGAAAGGAACAGGCCACTGTGGGCCACGCAGCACGTGCCGGCACGGCGCCAGGCCTCAGAGAGGGGGGGGAGGGCCCGCAGGCGTGGGACGCACCGCCAGCGGGGGGAGTGAGGGGGGGGCGGCACTGGTGATAGTGCTGCCTTCTGCGGTGCCATAGGGCGAAGCGCCCGGGGGAGCTGCACTCTGGAGGACACGGGGGCCAGGAGGCAAGTCTGGCCCAGTCCGCCGATTGGCACTGCCCCCCAGACCCGTGGCCCTACACACACCACGAGGTCCTCCAGGGCCGAAGCAAACTCCGCTGAGAGTGGGAGCCAGACCCCAAAAAGCGCGGAACACGGGCGGCCCTGGGAAGGGGGGGCGACCACCCTGACGTCTGATAGCACGTCTGGCAGGCCCCGAGGCCGAGGGCGGGGGACACCCGCCAGGCCCGAGAGGGGAGAGGCGAGGGGAAGCACCGCCTCACCCCTCGGCCTGGCCCCGACTCCGAGGGCTGGGGGCCATGGTCATCTCTTGGGTCATTCTCGGGGGTCGCAGCTGATCGCCGCTATGATCTCTCCTTAATCTCCTCGGGGGTCGCAGCTACTCGCCGCTGAGATCCTGGGGGTCGCAGCTACTCGCCGCGAGCACCTGCGTGGAAGAACGGGGGGTCGCAGCTAACCGCCGCTAGGATACATTTTACATCGAGGGGGTCGCAGCTAATCGCCGCTGAGGTCACTGTTGAATGTGTGCGAACGGGTGATGGCCCACCGAGGCCGCAGTCCACTGCGAACGGGTGACGGCCCACCAGGGCCGCGGTCGACGCGGAATGGCGAAGCGCCAGCAATGTTTCAAGACTCTGCATGTCTGGGAGGACACAAACGAGGGGGCCGAAGAAAGGTGTACCCCCAGGCACACAGCGTCCTGAATAGAGTCAGAATGGTTTGCGTTCTTGAATTTTGGCCTCTGGGGGCCTTGACCCGGCGCCAGGCCGGTCAAACACCGACTCAGGATGAAAGCCCAACCATGGGGAAAACGGCTAGGACTCTCGGGGACCGCGTATTGCCGCGCCGCGACGGCATCACCCCCCCAGGGGGGGGGGCCCAGGGTGGGGGGCGATGTCTGGGCCTTTCCGTGGACCTCTCGTGCACCTCTGGAGGGGGGGGGGCCCTTCCCCTGCAACCCTCGATCCCTCCATTCTGCCGCCCCCGCCATGACGCGGTGGTCATGGGCTGGCCATCACAAGTTGGCCCACAGCAGCTGAGAAACATCACAGCCTCCACGTCAGCACGCAAGACTAATCCCAATCTTTTTCTGCTCGGCGGCATCGTTTTCAAGCGATGCAGCATGCTCCTCCCCCCCGCGCCAGGGGGAGGCAACACGTGAGAAACATCATGGCTTCCATGTCAGCACGCAGGACTGGTCCCAGTCGTTCTCCGCTCGCATCACTCTCGAGCGAAGCAACATGCTCTGCCCCCCGCGCGAAAAAAAATGGACGCCCGAAATGGGTACGGAAGAAATGGGCATGATGGCAAGCGAGACAACGTGCTCTCCCCCCGCGCCAAGAATTTGGACGCCCGATATGAATACGGAAGAAATGGGTACGACGCCGAACAACAAGCGTTGTTCAAAACCGACAGCGGCCGCCGTTGGGCAGTCGGCCTTCTGTCTCAAGTGGACAGCAACCGCCGCGACGCCGACTGCGAACCCTGTTCAGAAGGAGCGGCAATTTCTGTTGGGCTTTGTACCCAACAGTGCCCGTACCCTTAGTGGGCCCTTGAAACGACAAGGCCATTTTTTTACTGGTTCCGTTTTGCCGTTTCTTTGTCGGTTCCGACGCCGTTTTTTTACCGGTTCCGTCGCCGTTTTTTGACCGGTTCCGGCACCGGTTCCAGTCCTGGAGCCGTTTTTTTGCTGTTTCCGGTCGCCTTTTTTTTGCCGTTTCCGTTTTCAAGGGACATTTTTTGGGAATCGGTGAAAGAACGGCCCTGCCGTTTCCGGGGTCCACAAAGCCCGTATTCATACCGCAGCTTTCATGTCAGCACGCAGGACTGGTCCCAGCCATCCTCCGCTCGGTGGCATCACTCTCGAGCGAGGCAACATGCTCTCCCGGAGAAAGAAAGAATGGCATAAACATACGCTTTCGACGGTCCGCGCGGATCTTCTGGATCTGCTCGAGGACCCCCCCCTCCCTGGGGCGCGGGGCGCGCCAGGGGCGGCGCTGGAGGCGCCGCCCGGGGGGGGCCCGCGCCGATCCAAGAAGTCCGCGCGGAGCGCCGAAACGGGACGCACAGAGGCGTACTGATACAATGTCCTCCTTGGAGCGCGCGTCCGACCAGAACATACTAGCAGACCCATCTTGTAGCATATCGTTTCCCGAGCGGGGTGGCCAGAAAGCGCCCGCCACGACGCATATACTGTCAGATTTCTCGGTGCGCGCGTCGCCCCTCGGGGGGCGACGCACACCTGGTAGTGGTATGTTGGGGTGACGCCGACGAGAGACTACGTCTACGCCGGTTCTTGTCCTTCGATCTCCCCCCGCACAGAAGGGGAGGCTCCCCCCCCCCTCCTGCTTGGCGTCCCGGATGCGCGCCGACAGCGCCGCGCTCGGGTTCGCGCAGTCCTGCTTCGGGGCCAGGGGCGCACGCCGAGCCCCCCCTCCCCGAGGGGGGGCGGACGGGACCCTGCCCAGGAGAGGGGGGGGGGCGGGCTCGACCTGGGACCTAGGGGGACAGCAAACGGCATACACACAGACTGTCGACGGTCCGCGCGGATGCCTCGGATCCGCGCTGGAGCCCCCCTCCCTGGCGCGCGGAGCGCGCCAGGGGCGGGGGGGCCCAGCGCGGACCGTCGACAGTTTATGTTTATGTATATCAGAGCGTGAATTACCTCCCCCACTTTCGCTTCCAGGCAAAACCAAGCCATACCACGCGCCTCCTCGTCAAGCGGCCTGACCAGTACAGGCCGCAATTTGGCCTTGCTTGGTATCTCTTGGAAGCGAGGGTGGTCAAAAGCGAGGTAGGTATGTTTCCCTCCGAGTCTATTTGTGCCGGCTGCTGCTCTTCGAGGGTCGGGCCCCTGGCAGCGGACTCGAATGCTTCGGGGCGGGGCGGGCCAGCAAGCCCCCAATCGGCGATGAGTGGGCGACGAGCGGTCGATGCCTGCCCCCCTGATCCTACGGTAGGGGACAATAAACCTTCCACAAGAAACCCAACCCTGCGGAGACCTCAGGACGTTCACCGAGTTTTGGTGTGGGAACGTCACGCTTTCTATTGCAACTCCATGCCCGAGTGGCATCGCAGCCTCTCGAGGACGCTGCAGGAGAAGCCCCAATCCTTCAAGCACCTACAAGCAAATCAACGTCTGTTCGCCTTGTCGCCGTTTCTCTCCTGCTCAGCTTTACGCCCTCAAGGTGGCTCCAAGATGGCTCAAGAAGGAGGAGGAGGAGGAGGAGGAGGAGGAGGAGGAGGAGGAGGAGATGGAGGAGGAGGATGAGGAGGGGGAGGGGGAGGGGAGGAGGAGGAGGAGGAAGTAGGGAGAGGGAGGAGAGGAGGGGAGAGGGGAGGAGGAGAAGGAGAGAGGGAGGGAGGGAGGGAGGGAGGGAGGGAGGAAGGGAGGAGGAGTAGTAGGAGTAGGAGTAGGAGGAGGAGGAGGAGGAGGAGGAGGAAGAGGAGGAGGAGGAGAAGACCCAAGGGACGCCCGATATGCACCCGACATGGTCACAAGAGCGTCGCGTTTCAGCAGCGTCCCGATACTGCCCCACTGTGTGACTTTTTGGGCTCCAGAGGGGCGACGGAGTCCAGCCCCCCCTTCTTTGATCGACGTCCTGTAAGATAGCCCCTAGAGGGCATGCAAAGCTGCTAAGCAGGCTCCCAGAGCAAAGGTCAGCAACTGCATTTATGTTTGCATCGTCGTCGCCGTCGTGGTCGCCATCGCGCTCTCCCCAATCCTGCTCATCATCCCCCTCCTCCTCCGTATCATCCTCCACCGACCTCGCCTTCTCTCAACCACGGTGATACATACTTGAATAATAATGTGTTCACTCACGCTCATCCTTCTCCTGCTCGCCTTCCTCCTCCTCTTTCTCCTCCTCCTCCTGCTCCTCTCACTCCTCCATCATCCTTCCTCCTCTGCCCTTCCTAGCTTGACAATTTACTCCTGGGCCTGGTGAAGCTTATCCCAAGCTTCGGCTTGACGGCTTCCCCAATCCTTGATTGCAAGAATTCTGCTCCCCCCACTTCCTTGATCAAAGCGGCTTGGCTGGGCATCGGTGCTGGATGGGTTGGTGGGGATACACGAAACGGCAATTCGTAACTACTTTCGGGAAGGGGGAACTATGTGGTACAATGAACCCGTTCATGCAGGACCCAATCGTGTGGGACTCCACGGGATCAAGCCATATGTTGGGGACCTCACGGGAACCATATGGGATGGGACCCTTCTTTTGGCTGGCAACATGCGACATTCCCCGCGACCAATGCCAATGCAGGTGGGGCTCGTGTGGGGTAGGAACCTACGAGAGGAAACCCTGTGACTGACAACATCCGACTTCCTGGCGGTCAGGGCCAGATCATTACAGAGCAGGTCTGGATCCCTGAATGCAAGCACTGGTTTGGGGGAAAACGTTTCCTCCTTCCCGATTCCTGCTGCCGACAGCGTAGGGGCAGCGCTTGGGGCAGCTATGCGAGCTCGCCACGGTCCTTCAATGTGCCTCGGTCCATCGCGGCGGCCTGGATATCCGGGTCCTGCCTCAGGGGGGCGGGCAACATTTTGCATCACGTCTCCACGTCGTCCTCCTTCCCCTTGCGCCGTGCTCAGCAGGCTTGTGGCTTCACCTGGAACGTGGCCGCTGCACCTTTGGCCGTCGCATCTTGGATGTGCACGGATTCTCCCTCCCTCTCTCTCTCTCTCTCCTCTTTTCCTGCGCGCATCATACAACTGCGTGCCAGCGTGGGCCCCAAATAGTGAGTCAGTGCGCAGTGACTGTGCAAGCTGCACTGTGCAACACATGTGGCGGAAGCTGTGCTGCAGGCTACGTGGTACAGTCTTCGTGGCGCAAGCAGTGTGGTACAAGCTATGTGCTGCAGGGTGTGCGGTGCAGGCTGACATGTGGGCGGCGACCAGTCGAACCCTGTGCTGGCCCAACCAACGCAGGAGGCACCCACGAAGCGCCCACGGAGCGAAAGCCCGGAACCCCCTGCTGGCGCACGAAGGGCCACCCTCCTCCTCCTCCTCCTCCTCCTCCTCCTCCTCCTCTTCCATCCTCCTCTCCTCCTGCTCCTGCTCCTCCTCCTCCTCCTCCTCCTCCTCCTCCCTCCTCCTCCTCCTCCTCCCTCCTCCTCCTCCTTCCTCCTCCTCCTCCTCCCCCCCCTCCTCCTCCTCTGCCTCCTCCTCCTCCTCTCTCCTCCTCCTCCTCTCTCCTCCTCTCCTCTCCTCCTCTCTCCCTCCTCTCCCTCCTCCTCCCCTCCTCCTCCTCCTCCTCCTCCTCCTCCTCCTCCTCCTCCTTCTCCTCCTCCTCCTCCTCCTCCTCCTCTCCTCCTCCTCCTCCTCTTCTCTCTCTCCTCTCTCCTCCCTCTGCCTCCTCCTCCTCCCTCTCTCTCTCCCTCCCTCCCTCCCTCCCTCCCTCCCTCCCCCCTCCCTCCCTCCCTCCCTCCCTCCCTCCCCTCCTCCTCCTCCTCCTCCTCCTCCCTCCTCCTCCTCCTCCTCCTCCTCCTCTCCTCCCTCCTCCTCCTCCTCCTCCCTCCCTCCTCCTCCTCCTCCCCCTCCTCCTGCTCCCCCTCCTCCTCCCCCTCCTCCTGCTCCTCCTCCTCCTCCTCCTCCTCCTCCTCCTCGAAGCGCCCACGGGCGGCCACGGGGCGGGCACTGTCTGGGAGACCTCCGTGCCGCGAGGCCCCTGGTGGAGTGCCCTCGGCTCCTCTTGAGGTGCGTGCAGCAAGCATCGGGGATCTCAGGAGAGCCCAGAATCGAATCTTAGGAGGCAACTGCTGGGAGGTTGTCGTCGGAAAAATTGAGGAGGACCAAGCCTCACTTGGGAGCTGTTATGCCGGAGTGGGCCTCGGACTAAGCGGGATTAAGCCAGATTAAGCGGGATTAAGCGGGATTAAGCCGGATTAAGCGGGATTAAGCTGGATTAAGCCGGATTTCGGACCAGGGCGAAAACAGGATTTTACCTCCCAGGAATTGCATCCGAACGAATCAATACGAATCGGAATCCCAAGTCAGATCGAATCGGACTCGGAAGCCATCGAAGTCGAATCGAATCGGAGGAATCGAAGTGAAGCCTGGAGGATCTACTAACCCGGGTCAGTCCAGACCCGGGGTCAATCAGGCCTTGCAGGGTCCTGCGAGATCCTGCAGGATCCCGCAGGATCCTGCACCCAAAACCGGGTCAATGCGACCCTGGACCTGCAGGATCCTGCAAGATCCGGCGCTCTGACTGACCCCCGTTTGCATTGACCCCCGTCTCTTGAGCCACGAAAGTGTTGCAAATGTTCCTTGAAAGGGCCCAGGCCGATGAATTCCTGGAACTCCCGACCTCCCTCAGATGGCCACAGGAAGGCTCAAAGCCAACCCGACGTGGCCCCAAGACGCAAGCTAGACAGCGCCAGAAACCTGCCCGATTGGCCGAAGCCCACTCCAGCCGGCCGCAATACCCTCGGAGATGGCCCGAAGAACTCCAGCAGGCTCTCAAGAAACCTCCCAGCAAGCTCCTGGGAGGCGAGAACACCCCGATGCCGCACGTTGCGGTCTTCTGCTGCATGGAATAATCACATGCTGCATGCTGCGGCCTCTGTCCCACTGGGGAGGCGAGCTGGCGCGTGTTGCTGGCCCCCCGGGACCGGAGGGAGACGCCCATCAGATCTTCCGGTCATCTCGAGCCCACGAAGCAGCGCGTCGCACGCTGCCCCCCTCGGGGCGAGAGCTGCCACGTGCTGCGACCCCCTGGGGGCAGCTCTCGCGCGGATGCTGCGCTTTGGCACGGCGGCGGAGCCCGCCCACCGGGCACCTCCTGGCAGCTGCCCCCGGAGGCGGCGGAGCAGGAGGCGGGAGCAGGGCGGCGAGGGGCGGGAGGGTCGGATCGGATCGGCCTCCCACGGAAGCAGCGCGCAGGACCCTGGCTGCCAGGGGGCGTGGGGGGGGCGAGGCTGGATGCACATGGGGGAGCAGGGGGGGCGAGCAGGGGCGGGCAAGAGGGAGGGACCAGGGGAGCAGGGGGTCAAGGGGGGCAGCAGGGGCGAGCGAGAGGGGGAGCAGGGGAGCAAATGGGGGCAGCAGGGGCCTCCTCCTCCTCCTCCTCCTCCTCCTCCTCCTCCCCGTCCTCCTCCTCCCCGTCCTCCTCCTCCTCCTCCCCCCTCCTCCCCCTCCTCCTCCAACCACGCATCCCCCCCCAACTCTGCCCACGGCGACGGCTCCGCGGCCCGGCGCGGGAGGCTGCCTGCGGAAGACGTCCACCGAGCGCTCGTCCAGGCGGGGGTTCTCCCGGATGAACTTCTCCACCTCCTGTGGACGCCCGAGGCTGGGGGCGGACAACATAGGTAGGACATGGTACAGTCGGACTCGCTTGGACAGGACACGCGAGAGGACACAAGACCCTTCCGAGGGCCATATTGCCACAGGAATGTAGGAAACATGGGTCGCGAGACACAGGACACAAGGGTACCCTTGATTTGGCAGGGTCGACCAACTAATATGGGCCGACTGTACGATGCCCAACGTCAACTGCCGTCCAACACCGACAGCGGTCACTGTTGGGCAGGCGGCCTGTGGTCTGAAGTGGGCAGCGACCGCGATGACCCCGACAGCGAATCCGGCTCAAAATGGACAGGAACTGCTGTCGATCTTCATACCCATTCTTTATCCCATTCTGAGCGTTCCGAACTCTAGCCTTGAGATCCGACGTCTCGAAAAGAATGACGCATCGTGCAAAAAATCACGATTGGAGCCCCAACCCGCATCTGCCTGCGCTAGTTTTCGAGCCAGATCGATCTGTGAGGGTCTCGGGGCTCGAGTCTGGGCGAAAACGCCCAGATCGGAAAAACTGAGGCGCCAGGATCTCAGGGAGCGTGTGCAGTCGGGGCGTTGACCTAAGGAATCCTAAATAAGGAACGAGGCCCCTTTTCTCCATAAGTTAACCTTCGATTTCGTATCGAAAACCTAAGGACAATCTAAGGCAAGCTGCGAAACACTTAAGGAACGCGGAGCCCCTCCCAAACGAAAAGGGTTCCTTCTTCAGGGCCCCGACTGTAGTCAAGAGGCGCCGTATCTATCGCATCGATCCTCCAGCGCAGCCCGCCGCCGCTGCTCCGGCTCCTGGCGCGCGGGTCGGGCGGTTGCCAGAGGTGTCCCTGGCCCAACGTTCCCCCAGGAGTTGCAAGGCCCCCGTGGCCTCTAGAACACCCCTAACGAGGCCCAAGCGGCCCCAGGGGCTCCAAAATGGCATGCCAAACTGGGGGCACCTTCTGGTTCCGGGCAACGGGGGTCTTTTGTAACGGGGCCTCACCAACAAATGCAATAGTTCATCCTGTGGCTCTTGGCGCGAGACCTCGCTGACGGGCCAGCGATGCCACATGCAACGCGCTCTGCCCGCATCCAGCACGACCCAGCACGAAGAACCACACGAACTGTTGCGCATCTTTGCTCGGGGATCTGCTGACCCGGGTCAATCCAGACCCGGATCAGTCAGGCTCTGCAGGATCCTGCAAGATCCTGCAGGATCCTGCACCCAAGCCCGGGTCAATGCGACCCTGGAACTGCGGGATCCTGCAGGACCCGGCGCTCTGGCTGACCCCCCGTTTGCACTGGACCCCCGTCACCCGAGCCCTGATTTGAAGGACCGCCTAAGGCGGTCCTTCAAATCGTGGTTTAGTGAAAACGTGGTTTAGCGGGCCCAAACCTGGCGGGCGCAAGCCTGGAAAACAACGGCCACGGCGCCCTCTCGAAAGCCGAAAACGGACAATTCACTAATCGACGTGTCACTGCTGGGGGTTCTGTCCAACCCCCGAGCCTTTGCAGAAGGCCCGCTGGCCCGAACCCCACATGGGGCACGTCCAGCAGCCCCGCGACGCCGGGGGGGGGGGAACCGCGGCGCGCCGCGCCACGGCCCCGCGGGCTGCACCCCGAGGCCGCGCTGCGCGGGCGCCGCGGGCGCGGCTGCGGCTGCGGCTGCCGGCGGCACGGTGTTGCAGCAGGCGTCGCCTCGCCGTCTCGCGGGTTCGTTCCCAGCGGGGGGGACCGCGCGCGCGTGCACAGTCAAGGCTGAGAAAACAGGTGCGCGGCAGTGGTGCGAGCTCCTCGGGCGCCCGTGCCGAGGCCTTTTTCGAGCGCGGCAGGGCCCTCGAGAGTAGTCAAGGATGGGCCAGCGAGGCGCGGATGCAAGGGTAGCCTTTGGAAGGTTACGCATCCTTATCATCGGTTTCGACTGTACCCAAAGAACGTGTCTCGCCAATCGAAGTCGAAGAGCCACATGTTGTGTGCTCACAGGACAAGGGTCCCCATCAATGGCCACGCCTTTCACAGCCTGGTCATCTCGACGGCCAGGTCTGCTCAACAACGTGGGTTCCCAGATATGGCATCACTCGCATTCGCAGTTTGCCTCTTCATGCACGTGTGTATAGCGCACACGCGCGGCAACCATCTGGGCCTATGCCTGACGAAGGGGGCTGAGATCTCCCGAAACGCGTTGCATGCACTAAGCGGCGTCTGGAACTGCGCACTGTGAAACACCTGTGGGTTCCCATCCAAGCGACGAACATCAGCCCGATTGAGCGGCCATGAAACCAGACTAGCCAAGAATTAACCCCGATAAAACCGAATCAAGCGGGATGGGCCTTCTGTAAGCAGGATTATGCCAGATAAGGATGGTTTGCGACAACCAGCGCCGATGCTCAACTTCAACTCCCAGGAGCTCCCGTCCTCTGAGTGGTTTTTCGAAGCCTTCCCTGAGGATCCCCGAGGACACAGAAAACCTCTCAGAAAGCTGGCTGGGACAAGGGAAACGGGCCTGAAGCGAGGCGACGTAGCGACCTCACGCGGCGGCGGACGCGGGCCGCCAACGTGGCAGGCCACATCTAGGGAAACGAGAATCACATAAACATGACAACTCGGAGGTCCGCGCGGATGTCTCATGATTATCCGCGCTGGGGCCCCCTGGCGGCGCCTCCGGCGCCGCCCCTGGCGCGCTCCGCGCGCCAGGGAGGAGGGTCTGGCGCGGATCCAAGAAATCCGCGGGGACCTCAAATTGTTTTATTGTTAAGGCACTTGTTGTTCCCCTAACATTCGAGTACGGGATCGACTACAGAATTGATTTTCCCCAGAATTGGTTTTCTCGTCGAATCCGAGAAAACATGCAGAAGTCTCAGTAGACTGCTGGACATTCTAGGGTTTTCGTCGTAGGTCCGATGGAGAATCAAGTTTGGGGTAAATCAATTTTCTGTAGTCGATCCCCTACTCAAAACATTGGAGACGAGGGCGCTCGCGCGGGACCCTACGCGGGGCAGCTTGCGCGCCAATGTCGGCGCAGATGACTTCTCTTCTTTTTGCTGCGTCGTTCGTGGGAGCACCACGAGGCACACGAGAAGGGGAAACGGGGACAGCAGAAGCCTCTCCAATGAAGGGGCCCTGGGACACACAAATAAATACACACAAATAAAAAGAGCCCCCATATTTTCCCATATTTTCTGGGTTTTTGTCTTCCCCCCATCTTCTCATATTTTCCCATATTTTCTGAGGAATCGACGATTAATTGTGTCTGTGTGTTTTTTCCCTCCTGATCCAAAGCGCCTGGCCAGTGCCCCACTCCCTCCCATCGCCCGCCCGAAGAGCACTGGTGCCTCTCCCGAGCGTGCCGGCTTCCTACCCCAGACTCTGGGTTTCTGAAGAAGCGTGGGGGGGGGTTACCCCCCCGACGGGGGTCAACCTCGCCTCGTCGTCGCGCCGCGACGGGGGTCGGAGCGCCTTCGGCGCGCGGTGGCTGCCCGCGACGGGGGTCGATGTGGGGCTGCCGGCGGGGGTGACGCCCCGCCGACACTTGTTAAGAAGCTCGGAGTATGCTGCCTCTCCAGAGCGCGACGTATCAAGAGAACCCGGAATCGAATCTTGGCATCGCTCGGACATGTGCATTTTTTTCGGCAAGAACCAACGAGGACCATCCTGGACCATCGAGCAAACAAAAACACGCGCGAAACCGAAAAATGCACGGGAAATGGACGTCCGAGCGACGGCAAGGAGTCGACAAACTGGATCGGCGAGGGGAATGCATCGGGCCGGCGGACACCGGCAACCGAGCCGGGAGAAGTCGAGTCGACGGACATCGGCAGGTGAGCAGGTCCCCATGCAGAAACCGGAAGCCCCATCGCACTCGGACACCGAGTGGCACCGGCACCGGAAGCCACCGACTATGCTGAGCCGAGTCGAGCCGGAACTGTCGAGAGGACTCGGGCGGCGGCGGCGGCGGCGTCGCCTGCCACGGACGCCCCGTTCGACGCAGGACTGCTGGGCCTTATAGTGGGCCCCCGAAACTGCAGGGCCCTTTTTGCGCCGTTTCCGAAAACATGCCCCTTGAAAATGGAAACGGTAACAAAAACGGCGACCTGAAACGGCAGCAGAAACGGCTCCAAGATTGGAGCCGGAGCGGGAAACCGTAAAAAAACGGCGACGGAACCGGTAACAAAAAACGGCAAAACAGAACCAGCAAAAAAAACGGCAAAACGGAACCGGAAAAAAACGGCCCTGTCGTTTCCGGGGCCCGCTAAGTGCTGGGCCGAACAGGGCGCCGCTGCGGCGGCGGCGCCCGGTGCAGCCGCGTCGGCTGCCCGCTGGCCGCAGCGCGCGCGGCCCCGACGGCCGAGAGGGCGCGCCGCGGCGCCCTCGGCCTCCTCCTCCTCCTCCTCCTCCTCCTCCTCCTCCTCCTCCTCCTGTGCCTCCTCCCCCTGCGCCTTCCGCCTCCCCCGCGCCGCGGCCTGCTCCTCCTCCTCGCCCGCCCCGGTCCACGTCCTCTTGCCATCGCCTGCTGCTTCACTCCCCCCCGACGAGTACGGAAAGATAAGCACGCTGGGGAGGGATGGATAGGATGGGTAGAATGTCGGACGTGATGCGAGCGACGCAGGCGCACGCAGCTTGCCTCTCTACCCTCCCGCCCTCCCCCTTTTGACGCCATCTCTCTCTCTCTCTATCGCTATTTGTTTTGTCTCTCTGTCGCTCTC